TACGGTCAAATCACCTGGTTTCAAATCAGAGCTGAACCCAGTGCTGAACCCAGTGCTGAACCCAGTGCTGAACCCAGTGCTGAACCCAGTGCTGAACCCAGAGCTGAACCCAGAGCTGAACCCAGAGCTGAACCCAGTGCTGAACCCAGAGCTGAACCCAGAGCTGAACCCAGAGCTGAACCCAGAGCTGAACCCAGTGCTGAACCCAGAGCTGAACCCAGAGCTGAACCCAGAGCTGAACCCAGAGCTGAACCCAGAGCTGAACCCAGAGCTGAACCCAGAGCTGAACCCAGAGCTGAACCCAGAGCTGAACCCAGAGCTGAACCCAGTGCTGAACCCAGAGCTGAACCCAGAGCTGAACCCAGAGCTGAACCCAGAGCTGAACCCAGTGCTGAACCCAGTGCTGAACCCAGTGCTGAACCCAGAGCTGAACCCAGAGCTGCCGGTGCAAAGTAAGAAGGAGATGGATGTGAAGGGCCGTGTGCAAAACCTGTCAACACTGCTCTGTTTACACAGCAAACAGGAACACACTGTGCTGGAGTTAAGAGATAACATGTCAGCAAAAGCGTAACTGCCTGTCGACACATAATAGGCGTATGCACAGATACACGTAGATAGATACACGTCACACAAACTATATGGAAGTTAGCAATTATTACCAACAACATGATACATACACCATGTAACCTTTGCACGTTTACTGAACATGTCAATAAGACGCTTCCTTTGTGTTTATCTTTGGTTTGAAGACGTCTTATTCCAAATGTTCCCTCAGTGTTTGTGTTTCCTCCACATGTGAAGACGCAGGGAGATTAGGCAAATGATGGATTCAAAAGTGTCCGTGTTTTTCTTTAGACGGATCTTGGAACAGCAGTCATCGTGGTGTTTCTTTGGGATTTACTGTGAAGTGATGTTGGAAAAGCTAGATACTACAAATGCTGGACGCTGCTCAGCAAGATGAGAACACGACGGGTACAAATGTTTACAATAGAACAAGAAGACACGACAGTCAGCCGTGCGACTGCTGGTTTCCACGCAGAAGAATCTCTAGAATCAATATACAAATAACTGATATGTTAGAAAATAATAAAAGAAAGTACTTTTCCTGGTAACTCATCTTGCATTTCAAAAAGCTCACAAAACAAATAAAGTCCTGTGCAAAATGCCAGTTTATCAAGTTTCTGTAGTCCTTTACTTTATTCACAACTTCCCTTTCCTTCCTCCATGTCGGCCCAGATCATGAGCTTTGGGAAGCAGCTGGACTTGTGGCACTGAACCCTTCTGTACTGCCATAACTCAAGTGATGCACATTTCTACTTGAATACCATCTTATAGCCCAACTCCATCGGACACTATTACTACACTGTTGAGCTGAGACATCGATTAAATCACTCCTTCAGAATCAACACGGTGGCAGACTGAACACATGAAACAAAAACATCTCTAAATTGACAAATAATAGAAGTGCATGCATAAAATAAATTAGCACTGTAATCACTCGAGGAAAGTGTATATCTAAATGAGAAATGAAGTGTATTAGATCAACAGTGTCTGGCTGATTATTCTGCTAAGGTTAATATTCACTCAAGCAGCGTTTCCGCCAGGCGGGCGTCTTGCCGTCATTAGACGCCCTTCAGCTCGGAACGCCCTAAACTCGAGCTGAGGGTGTCGAAAAAAATGAATAATTAGAGAGAAGATGGAGAGTTTTTATCGCTTGAAATGACGAAACGGAAAAAGGACAAGGATCGTATCTATAAAGGGACAGCTCAATTCAAAATTCAAGTCACGTGGTGGACGCCTTCTCAGCCCTGCTCTGGTGGAAACACTGCACTCAAGTATTAGTGAATGCCTTAAATCAAAGTGGAAGAAGCTCCCACCCTTCCACAACTACTAAAAGTATAAATGAAAATCAGCACCACTCCTTCCCTGTGTATTCAAAAGGCATTTCCACAGAACCATTTAGTGGCTTCACACTTGATTGGCTCTCCTCCTACAGTAAATGTTAACATTGAGGAATGTGGACACCTTGGTGTGTGTGTGTGTGTGTGTGTGTGTGTGTGAGACTCTTATCAGGAACACTGACGAGTCATGCAGAAGGCATCCAGTGTCACAACGCAACAAGTCGGAGCAGAGCAAACACAGAGTGTGCAACTAAGACCCTGTCATTAAACACACACACACACACAGCTGGCAACCTCCACTTCAGTCCGCTTACTGCAGGGTGTGTTATGACAAAGACATGAGCTGCCCCACATTTCAGCACTTTAACACACACACCTTTTTTGCCGGCATCATAAAATATTCCTTCCTGCATGGATACCATATTCACATACATTTTTTTATAAGGAATAATCCGTTTTCTGTAGTACAATGACAAATGCTTTATTTGACCTGTAGTGATACGAGTTCAGTCCATTTCTCTCAATTTATTCCACACACACACACACACACACACACACACACACACACACACACACACACACACACACACACACACACACACACACACACACACACACACACACACACACACACACACACACACACACACACACACACACACACACACACACACACACACACACACACACACACACACACACACACACACACACACACACACACACACACACACACCACACACACACACACACACACACACACACACACACACACACACACACACACACACACACACACACACACACACACACACACTTATGTATAGTGTCTAATTTTAGATGCAAGTTTGACTGCTTCTCGTTTTCGTCTTTTGTTATATTGATGTTGAAAATGAGATGTTAAAATGGGCTTTCTTCAACTATATCAACTCAATGCATACGTAACTGTTCAACGTATTGGAATATGATTAAAAAAACAGGCTTTATTAATACTATTTGACAGCCAGGTGGATTCACTTCTTTACCGACGACATAAACGTCCTACGTTGGCTCAGGTTTGAACTCATGGGCCGACAGAGGAAAGTGATGACAGCCACAGTGAATGCTAAAGTGCTGCGTTACCATTCTGCAGAGGTGGGGAAGTATTTAGAGCCTTTTTAGAGCCAGTTAAAGTACTAATACCACGCTGCAATAAAAACAAATTACTTCAGAGAAAGTCTCCAAGTATAATAAGAAACAGGGTATATGCAGGAATCCTGAAGTCACATGTAAAACCTTTTAAGACCTTTTTAAGACCCTTTCCATACATTTTAAGACCTCATCTCCACTTTGAGTTTTAACCGGTTACCTTGGCAACACACTTTCCCTCACATTGACTATATACAGTATTGATTGTCCTTCCTCCTTATCTTCCAACCATTTGGACGCAGACTTGCATTTCCCCATAACCATGTTGTTTAACAACCGGCGTAAACGGGCCTTCGCGCGCTATCAAGCAGTGAGCGTGCGATGTCCTGTTCAGATGACGTCAAACCCAACGGGATGCCATCAATAAACTACACAGAATCACACTACACACCTACGCAATGATTACATTCAGGCAGACTGTAGAATACAACCTCTTTGGACAATTCATATACTTATTGAGAACAAGCTACAAAATCTAATACCTTGGAAAATGCCGTTTAATACTTTTTAATAGCCTTAATTCTCGCTAAATTGGGTTATCAACTTTTAATACTTTTTAAGACCCCGCGGACACCCTGTTAATGACAAATGTCCCAATTACCTAGAGCCCAAATTGACACCTTCAGACTCTGGTGTTGCCCAACAAACCATCCTAATATCACCATCATTACTTAGTTATAAATCACAAGTATTGACATGCTTTAAAGGAAAATAAGCACTTCTTCACGCTTGAAATGTTACTACATGAAAGATGGCAAACTATTATCAAATGAACCTTCTGTCAATTAATTATCATTTCAGATGTACTTGTTATAACTGTTGGATATTGTTAATTCAATGTTCATTTATAGCAAGGGATCCGTTTTCATATGGCAGAAATCTTAAGGTGTAAAGTGAGAAAAGCTGTGAGATGAATAGGGTGGATTAGAGGTGTTTACTAGCACAACAATAAACCTTTAAGTGAACTTAAGTAGAGTATGTCAGGTAGTTTGCTGCTCCTCCAACAGACTGATCCAGCTCTGATGTCACAGGACAGATACAGGACGTCATTCGTGCCAACTGCATTAACACTGAACTGTTCACCTCTGACTGGCAGAACAATGACTGCTCCATAGTTTTAGTTTGACCCTAACTCTCAACAATTTGCACAACTGTCTTTTAAATACTATCCCATGTCTATAAGTCTATGCCCCTTAGGTTAATGTCTATATTTCTGGTGCTGTGGTATATTGGGCTTTTACCAAACATTCTAACTTATGCAGGATATTTTATAATGTGTATTCTTTGTGGTATATGTCTTATGTAAATATTAAATACATGTTATCATGTTTATTCTTTATACCACCAATGCCTGTAACAAAATAATTAACCAATTTGGGATGAATAAAGTATATATTTACGTATCTATTAAACTTATAAGTCTTATTTTCAATGTTGATGTGTTTCTATTTTATGTTTGTTTATTTTCTACTCTCTTGATGTTCACATTATGTGCAATGCCTTGTTTTAAAATGCTGCTGAAACGAAAACAATCCCAGTTGGGGATTAAGTGAATCTTATCCTATCTTTTACCACCAGCCACTCTGACAGCGATGTGAAGCTAACTAGCTCCAGCTAACGGCTAACTAGCTCAAGCTAACTGTAACCGCAGCACATTCCGCTATTCCTGTCTGCCCTATGGCTCTACCCTGTTAGCTTAGCTACTTAGCATGCTAGGGTACAAACATTTCATTCGCCGCAAACGTTAGCGACCATTTGACGTGCAGTAAATATAAACTAATACAAATGTCAATATGAATTGATAAGATGGCTGACTACAGCTAAAAGGCTTAAGTTAAACACCGTCTCCGCTTGCTGTTGTTGTTGTTGTTCTTAGCTTAGCATAAATCAGTGCTAAGCTAACATGCTAACCTGGAGCTCGGCCCTCTCCACTTCCCAGTGCGCTCTCTCCATCTCGAAGCGGGCCCACTCGTGCTGGATGTAGTGCAGGATGCCGGGGATGGTGTACTGCTGCCGGGGCATCTCGTCCGGCTGGTGCGGCACCATGATTCCTCCACCACCTCCATTATTGCTCCCTGACTGTGGAGGTTGTCTCTGGGATCCGACCCCTCCTCCTCCGCCGGGGTGCTCATCCATGTTGTTTTTTTTTAGAAAAGTAGAAGGAAAGTCCCAGGCAGCAAACGGTCCAACTGAAATGATTCCCGCCCGGTCCGGTTCCCCCCCCCCTCTCTCCGTTAGAGTCGGTGTATCCGCTCCGTGTGTGTCGCTCCGCCGCAGTGTGTGAGGCTAGCTGCCCCCCGGAGCGCGGTGCGGTGAGAGCGGCTGTTTGCGGACGGTGTTTGTGTATGGCTCTAACCGGCCGCCATTACTGCTCTCTCTCTCTCTCTCTCTCTCTCCCTGGATCATTACGGGAGGGAGAACCCAGCCGCGGTGCATGACGGGAAGATCAATCCAGCTTTTTTTTTCTCGGTCATCCACTATGGAACGTTCAAGGAATACAAGAAAGCGTGGGAAATCTTTCCTGAATTCAGAGTCTATTATTATTATAAGATAAGAACAGATGGACCTTTATTGATCCCCGTTGGAAAATGCAGTTGTTATAGCAGCAACAGAATAAGAGAGAAACACACATAGTACACATGAGAATATACACAGGGATGATAAGAATAAGTAAAATAAGAATAAACACGTATGAATAGACATTAAAAAAAGAACATTAGTAAAACTCTGATAAGGTGAATGTACATATATACAGAACAAAATTAACACAAGACCAATGGTTGGATCATGTTACAAAGAAACACAGCAGAAGTGTCATTTTGGATGGATGGCCCTACAGTAGAGAAAATGTGGTAAAATAACCTTTGCCGGTAACACATGTCCACCCCTATGGTCCACCCCTGCCCTCAGACAGCCCACCAGGCTGAGGACCCCCTCATGTATTTTTAGTATTTCTTGCTTTTCTATATTCTTGATAATGTGATACAACACAAGTAAAACATGTATTGGAGGCATACAAAACACATGTTTAAAATATTTGCAACACAGAATCAAAACAATGTAGTGTACGTCTTAAGCAACACTATCAAGGAAAATCAAGACACACACACACACACACACACACACACACACACACAGACAGACAGACAGACAGACAGACAGACAGACAGACAGACAGACAGACAGACACACACACACACACACACACACACACACACATTGAATCATTGTCAGATGAAATGTGATGTCAAGTGTTTCACCTAAATTCGTTTTGTCAATGTAGATGTGATCTATGAATTATTGTAGATGTTAGTATCATTGGTTGACCTATGAATCATTTTGTTTAAAATAACAATATTTTATATTATTATCATTTATATTTATGAATCTGAAAACCAATTTTTTTCGGAAACCCTGATTTAGGAAGTGGAGAAAGTATTCAGACACTTCAGTAGTTCAAATACCACACTTTAATATTACTAAAGTTACAATTTAAAATGAAAATATACTATCGTCTGTTTACAGAATCTGTAATATGGTATTTAGTTAAACAACAATAAATGAAAAACTTAGAAATGATGGCTGAGTCTTAGAGGTCCCATTTACCATTCGTTTCTTGAACGCACCATATGCGGGCTCTACTGAGCATGCGTCAGAAACAACTCCAGTTAGCATCATAGCTTCTTGTAACTGAAGCCTCTTGTTTATTTCACAGTAATTTAACCATATCATAATTTGAGTCGTTAAACTATAATATACATGTTTTATTTAACCTCGAGGGTCTGAACTGCAGACTGAATACAAACAACATTTAAAAGAAGCTAACAGCAGCTAGCTTTGGAGTTGTTGTTATCCTGTGATGATGATTTAGCTACAATTTAGCTACAAGCTAACAGCTGTTGGTAAGTCATGATTTTAACCATTAACTGACACCGTTGGGTTATTAACGGTTATTAACGGTTAATATGTGAAACGACGGGATGCCTTCAAGTGATGCTCGGACATTTCTCTCGTAAACTGCTGTTTAATAGTATTTTTGGCACATTTACTTAACTAAATACTATTTTACTTGAGTATTTCCGTTTCTGCTACATACAGAGAGGAAAGAAGTACTCCGGTCTTGTACTGAGTAAAAGTAGAAGTACTCAGATCTTGTACTGAGTAAAAGTAGAAGTACTCAGATCTTGTACTTGAGTAAAAATAGAAGTACTCAGATCTTGTACTTGAGTAAAAGTAGAAGTACTCAGATCTTGTACTGAGTAAAAGTAGAAGTACTCAGATCTTGTACTTGAGTAAAAGTAGAAGTACTCAGATCTTGTACTTGAGTAAAAGTAGAAGTACTCAGATCTTGTACTTGAGTAAAAGTAGAAGTACTCAGATCTTGTACTTGAGTAAAAGTAGAAGTACTCAGATCTTGTACTTGAGTAAAAGTAGAAGTAATCAGATCTTGTACTAGAGTAAAAGTAGAAGTACTCAGATCTTGTACTTGAGTAAAAGTAGAAGTAATCAGATCTTGTACTTGAGTAAAAGTAGAAGTACTCAGATCTTGTACTTGAGTAAAAGTAGAAGTACTCAGATCTTGTACTTGAGTAAAAGTAGAAGTACTCAGATCTTGTACTTGAGTAAAAGTAGAAGTACTCAGATCTTGTACTTGAGTAAAAGTAGAAGTAATCAGATCTTGTACTAGAGTAAAAGTAGAAGTACTCAGATCTTGTACTTGAGT